CGGTAGTGGTTGCGGCGTGGGGACCATGTCATGCAGCCGTATAGCAGTGCCTCCACTGCCTCCGCCTGGAGCAGGCGGGCTTTGAGGCGAAACGGTGCTCCCGGTCGGTCGAAGAGCTCCGTGGCGTATCGCTTAATGCACGCATTCTCGTTAATTAAGCACACACAGACAAACAGTCTCGTGATGACGGCCAATTTTGGCGATGGGATTGTTGCACGATATGATGCGGGCTAATAGAAAGGCCTACTCTTCTCTCCCCACGTACACCTTTCCTGTGGCCTTATGTTCTCTGAGTTGTTGTTGTTGTTGTTGTCTTCACATTAAACCGTATGTCAGTTGCTAAATGCCAAAATTTAGCAAAAGACTCTCAGCCCGTGGTCACGAAAGTGCTAGAGCCATCTGAAGATCTAAAAACACGCACGCACACATTTATTTAACGAGCAAAAGGTATCCAAGAGCCCGAAGAGGTACACCTAAAAATGCCCTGGCACCGTATGCGTGCCCAAAAACTGAACTGCACGTCCGTCCCACCGTTCGACTACAGTAGCATCACCCCCTCCCTGTCCCACTCTTTACCAAAACGGAAGATTGCCGACTACAGCATAATGCTGTCTGAAGTGCTGTCTGTACAAAAACACCATGGTAGGCATGGAACAAGAAGCTGGCGGGGCACAAAGCTGCTGTCTGAAGTGCTGTCAGAATGTGTCTGCGGCCGTACAGTGAAAAAGAACAACCAATCAAAGCCATCAAAGCAGCAATTAATTGACCATCACCCGAATCTCTCCCGATCGTTTGTGTAGGCACTGCAGTGAAAAACATCGACACTAGCTAAGAATCGTTCCACATTGAAGGGGTCTTCCACGATCAGGCACATAACCAAGGCACCCGGGTTAGCCACGCCATCTCTGACGGGTCTCTCTACAAAACCGGTGACGATGTCATCACACAAAACCAACACGGAAAGTCAGAAAAAAAAAAAGAAAAAAATTGACAACACAGATAGAAATGTTCGTCCGGGCGCCACGGGTCGATGTCGCCCGCATGCTCCGGTGCCGCTGCT